TTACATAACCAATTATTCCAATCATGTCCTGAAAACAAGTAGGACAGAGAGATTCTTCCCGAACCCATGCAGATAATTACGTCACTATGAAAACAAGAATACTCGATAAGAGTTATCGAATCCTGGAGGGCTCAGGCAGAGGAAAGAAGATATTTATGAATGTTTCATTTCTGTTCACAAAAGCACAGTTGACTAAATTATTATGAGTTATAGAAAGCATGACAGAAAAGAGAAATGACTTCCTTATACATCCAGAAAATAGAACATTGAAATGTCAGCACTATTCTAAGCAAAACCCACAATCATCCCTCATCAGTTCATGCAGGTCCATGTAATGAGTTCTTGTTCCGCTCGACCTGGCGTGAACAGTCTCATTAACCCATCAGCTCCTCAACTAGAGTTCTTGAAATCCTGACTCAGTTCACTGGTCTGATCTCAAAGTTGTTTGCGCCATCAGGAGCCTGTGCCCAACAGTATTTGACATAATCCTTACCCATGGGGCTCAGAGACAGTATTTGTTGAAAATGAAGCCCTCTAGATTGTACCTGATTACAAGTGCTTTCAGAGACACATCATATTAAAACATTAACTATAGATGGCAAAAGACCTACAAGTAAATGTGGTTAACTTACCAGTGATTATTTTCAAAACTGAAGGATCTGATGCGAGTTCATCACAAAAGTAATAATGCAGCTGACAAGGACACGTGGTTGTTTCTGCGGCACACAAAACAAAATAGAAGTCAATGCAAAGATTTTTAAACAAAATACCCATCAACATAATGACAACCCTGTTTTCAAAGAAGAGATGGTATTGTATCTAATTGATAAAAGTGGATGAATATAATCTTATGGCGACAAATATCCTCAAATATATAGTAATCCTGATATAATATACCATGAATACACCAAGAATCTACTTAGAATATATCAAAAATACCTAGTTGAGATTTAGTAAACTGGAGTAGGTCTTAAATATCTATGTACCAATAAAATTCCACAGGTGAGTGCTATTAATTCTCAATTGAAAACCAATGACCTAGCTAGATTCAAAATAAAGAAGCAAAGTTGAGACCAAGTTAAGATAGAAAAAATTAAAAATGATGACTTAAAACACTGTAGTTGTCTAATAGCTGGCAAAGCAGCAGTAGGACTCTGACAAACAGAAACATGAGCAGCGAGGACACTGATACATCTCTAGGAACTTATATATTTATATTAATAACATTTTGCCTATACCAATTTAACCTTGGGAAGGCTGAGCATCTCTTCCGATTTGGCAACTCTTCCCGTGCAACTTAGCAATAGTAACATATTAAATAAGCCTAATTATTTCTAGTACCTGTCTTTTTATAAAGTGAAAGAATACATCCTTTGTGATTTTCCAGGGGCCCTCAGGGACTGGATTAAGATAGGGTGATAGGTTGCAGAAAAACAGTACTTGGTTCTCTATTTAACCAAAATGATGATAAAAGATTTAAAAAGGGAACATAGGAGATAAGATGATTGCAAAGAACCTCATCTCTTTCCTCAGCGAGAAGACTTTGCTTCCTTAAATAATCAAGGCTATAAAGTCAACATAAACCATACGTTATTCTAGGAAGACACAGAATCTTTGTTAGAGGAAGATTACTTAGGCAGGAAAGCAAAACCTTTACAACCTGTTATTAAGAGGACCAATAATAAAAAAAAATGTCATTTTAACACAGAGAAAACCAAATTATAGTTTTGCATCAGTGTAGTATTTCATACTAAGGTTCTTTTGGAAATTTTGTAAGTAAGCCCATCTAACCTTAGCCAACTTTGACCTCGACAAATAAAATTCCCCTTCTGTAACCTTATACCGCTTTCTATGTCCATACACATCTCTTCTAGCAGAAGCTCTCTAGCCAAAAAGAACATGTCCATTAACAGACCCAAATACATATAGCATCTGTGTAGCATATAAACTTAAGAAGCAAAAGCATATAAACCCAAAATTATGCTTAGTGATTATGCATTGTCTTACTTAGAAATGATCTAGGTATCTAATGAATATCCACTAATTAACTCAATTTAGTGTCCACCCAAAGTTTTAAGTTACCTAAAGATCTTGTGAATTATCTTCACGCTCACATACTACAAAACATAATTACTGTTGAAATACAGTGTCAGAATAATGACTCAATTTGGTTAAGCAAATTTACATTTGTCATAGTCTCAAACATTTAGTAGCAGTATTGTCAGCTCATTCAATCAGTAAGCCTGTATAAATTTTGGAAGAATATACACAAGTAGAATACAAATCTACATGTATATCATAATGAACACTAATAAATCAGAAAAGACAGCTGATTTTAGTGAACCAAAATTATTAGTCTTGTTTGCCACAGATTTACCAAAATTATGTGAACTAGAATTCTTAAAACATTTATGTTTGCTTTTATAGGAATACTTTCTTAGCACACTGAAAGTCTTGAAAGTTCAATTTCCTTATTTACTGGGAATTTTAGGACTATTCTGTTTATCTAAGCACTTATCTATTTCTATAAATCAATAAGAATAGAGCTGCTTTAATGTAGGAAAATATTACACACAAAGGCCTTCTGAACTGCAGACATCATCATCATTATCGTATTCAGGGAGAATGTTCTTTAATGAGGAACACCTCAAAGAAAAGGAAAGGGACCGGGACTTTTATAGAGGCAGGTAAGCAAGGAAGTCATCCTCGTGTTTTGCGGGAGTCCTGAGCAAGCGCTAAGATGGTTCTGCCGTGGAACGTGCCCGGGCAATTGTGGTCCTTCGTGATGAAGCATTTCACACAACACAAGGGGGTGTGGGGGTGGGGCTGTGAACCATCACTGATTTCTAGAAGCATGATTTCTAGATTTCTACAAGGCTAACAAAGTTTAATACTGTTGATGAGAGGATTCTGCTTTGTCAATTTTGTGTATAGAATTTCTCTGTATTCTCCTTTATATGCCATATTATTTCTGCTTCCTTTTTTTTGTTTGTTGTTCGTTCGTTTGGTTGGTTTTGTTTTCCTGTGCTCATGACTTCACTCCATAACTTAATTGTAGGCTCTCTGGGGGGAGACCATATGTCTTGTATTGATTTGTCTTTCTCCTCCTCCCCAGCTCTCTTCTCTTTTTGGCTAACACTTAAAATGTTCCATTTCACCAAAGTTACTGATGTTTAGGAGGAAGACAGATTATCTTTTTTGATGTGCTAAGACAGTAGACATAAAATAAATGTAAGCTTTTCATAATTGGGAAATAGCGTTCAAGAACTTTCAAAGTCACATATTTACAGAAAATTCATGGATGGAGAAATCTTTTTCTCTAATTGGTTTCTTCCTGGTTGTACTCCTAAGGCCAAGCTATTCTTTTGGAAGTTGATCACTGAGTTCACTTTTATGAGCAAGGTCAATGTCTAGGGATATTTTTACTAACCTCCTGCTCACACATGTACCCATCTCATTGGTTCAGCCTGTGAACTAAAGCACTGTCCAGAATCTGAAATGTTATTCTAGAAGAGATTTCATGAAGAAGTTTCTGCATTGTGTAGGCACTAGAAAGATCTCCAATCTCATAGTAGTAAAGATGCCATTTTAAATGATGCACGTGCCTGGAATTCTGTTTCAAGTAAAATATAAGGAAGAAATTAGAAAAGAAATGGGTTGGGTATTTGAAGCATCTGTAGACGCAAAAGAAATTGAAGCATTTAGGATGAGGCCCTGAAAATAAATTATAATACACTTTTTTAAAAAAGCATTTTATTGGGGAATTGGGAGAGGGGAACAGCGTTGGGGAATTGGGGAAGGGGAACAGACCAGTTGCTGTCCTTTTGTTTTTCAGTCTAGTTGTGGAGGACGTCGCTTCACTGGCCCATGTTGGTATTATCATTGCGCTCTTCCTGGGTAAGGCGGATCGGTCGCTGGCCACTGGACAGCCGCTCATGGTGGCTCATGGCTGCTCACGCTGGCTGCTGGGCACTCACGGTAGCTCATGGCAGCCCACTGCAGCAGGGACTGCAGCCTACGCCAACGCCGGCAACTCTCGGCAGCCCAACTCCAGGTTGAGCTGTTGTTTAGCATCTTAGCTGTAGAGGGCAGTGTCACTGGCCCTCATGTGGGATCTGAACCGGGGTCCTGCTGTTCAGAGCTGGCGCTTCCTAGCCAACGTGCCACTCAGCCGGCCCTATAATACACTTTTGATGATAAAAAAATATGTTCTTTCACATCTCCGCAGTAAGACTTTGTGGAAGCATAGTAAAAGAGTTGGTTAATGTTGACAAGAGGTGAAAATAACACAGTATCACCAAGAGCAGAAAGGTTAAAGGACAGCAATGCAGTCAATGAAGAGAATTTGAGTGAAGGAAACAGACGAACTTGAGAAGAGGCTGCTTCAGTCTCCATTGTAGTAATGATATTTACAGAAAGGCAAGCACATTATGCTCCCTGGGAGAGTATGCGTTTGGACCTTCTACACTCCCCTTTTATGAGCAACAAGTGCCAAGACTTCCTCAAAAAAAAGAAAAACAAAGCTCTTGAGGTTATGTCACAGGGCCGGCACACAGAACCCAGTGTCCAATGTCTTCACATCTGGCTGAGCAAGATTGTCTGTAAGGCTCTTCTAGATTCTGGCTTTCCTCAGGTCTGAGAGGTGATAATCACCATTCATTATGATGACCCCAGGGTACCCCAAGTTTTTTAAATGATTCCTGAATCATTAGAGAAAGGTCGTGTTTTGTTGACTTTAGTCACAACATTCTAATTCTTTGAAAAATCTGGGATCCTGAAGGGAAAATGTTACCCATCAACCTGAATATTTCGTTTACCAAAACACTTCTTTCCCTGATCATTCTGAGGCATTTACTATCCAATCTTTGTAGGTCAATTTTTGTTTTTCTTAAAAGAAGGGGGAATTGTAAGGGAATAGATCTCAAGGGTTAGATCCTTGGCTGTAAAGACTCCCTTGGATTGCTTTTGGCTGTTGGCTGTAGCGACTTATTTTCTTGCAGAGACGAAGCATCTGGTTTTTGTTATCTCAATGATGCTGTCCTGGGGATATTACGATTGCGACGGAAATTTGACCGTATTCTCTATGTGGATTTGGATCTGCACCATGGAGATGGTAAGCCCTTCGCATTCAGAGGTGCTTTGCTGCTAGGACAACAGGTCTTTACCAGTGAAGTTGCTTCTAGGCAGCTGGTAAACGGAGAAGTACCTGTTGCAATTGAAATTTTCCTAATTGAGAACACTGAAGTAGGTAGAGATTATTCTAACGGATACAATTCCTCCTTTGCTGATGAAGCTGCTTTAAAATGCCAGGTTCCTCTAATTTCTCCTCCCCTCCTTCATTAGCAAAGCTCTCCACTAGAGAACATTAAGAAGTGGGAATCTTACCTAGTGTTTACTCCAGCGCTCAGTAATCTCCCTCAGGCCACTTCCTTAGTTAGGTTCGAAGTGAAACCTGCACTTCGAGCTGACAGCCTTGATGCTTCTCCCCAGATGAGAACGGGTATATGATGGAAGAACAGCCTGCGGTTTTCGCCATTAGGGATACCAAGTCACATAGCGCTAGGAATCGGTGCCACTTTCTTCAGATCCCTAAAATGTTTAGCCCTGCACAAACCCGGGGCATCTTCTCTAACTGTTAAGACCAGCAGAATCTTGAACCATTTGCCTTACCCCAGTGAAACTATGTACCCAGCCCCCTCCTGTGTGCTTTCCATCTACGCGTAACAGTCACCCACATTCTGTTTCTTTAACAAGTCCTGGGTGTGGCACATATTTCCACTGACCTAGGAACACGTACCCAGTAAAATTAGTTCAGGATGTTCCCTCCCCTCCCCCACACCAGTGATTGCTGCTGCCCTGTTCCCATCATCAAAGCACAAGAGAGGAAAAGAACGGTAGATGGCAGAGGCTAGGGTCCGCTCTGCTGCCAAAACAGGAGAAGGAGGAAGAAATTGGGGAGGGGAGAGCCTCCCCAGGGAGTTCACCTAGATGACGCTACCATGAAACGGTGACAGAAAATTAAAGGTAGCAGAGAGAAGAGGGAAGGGTTCAAACGACCAACATACTACTTTGAGAACCGTGTCCACTGACTATCTGAACTGAATTCAGCCAGTGCGAAACGCAGCCTTGCTCGAAACCTTTAGAGGCTCCTTACCTCTTGTAACAAGGGTAACATTCAGCCCACGACTTGTTTTTGTATGGCCAGCGAGCTAAGAATGCTTTCTTACATTTTTACAAGGTTGTAAAGGGAAAAAAAATGCAATAGAGACCATGTAGTTCGCAAAGCCTAACATATCCACTGCATAGCCCCTTTGGTTTGCTAACCCTTGGCCTATAGCAGTGGTCCTCGAACTTGAAGGTGCATGAGGAAGACCTGGGAAACTTGTGTTAAAATGCAGATTCCTGGTCCACATCCACCAGAAATTCCAATTTAGTAGGTCTGGTGCGGAACCTGGGGATGCACATTTTGACAACAGCCCAGTTGTTCCACGGGCCACACTTTGAAAAGCAGTGGTCTTCATGGGACAGTCCTTCAAGGCCTGCCTGAAAAAGGCCTCACCTCTGGTCTCCGGCCTTCTCTCTCACGACTTGCTGTCCAGGCTGCTCTGCCCACATTATTTACTTTTTTCTGTCCTGCACAATTGCTTGGACAAACAGAGCTATGCCTGTAGTAGTGGTTCAGTAAAAATCCTGTCGAATGAATGAATGATTAGGAAACTCAAACTATTATTATCAGAGTTCAAGAATAGAATCAACTCTATTGAACCATGTAAGAATGAAATAAGACTGTCACCTGAAACCGTTCTTTCCATTTGCAATGTTATTTCTACACCATTTAGAGTTTCCTGTTTTAGCCAACTTTTATGGTGTGTTTCATTTCAGTTTATTTCCCCTCTTCAGCACCTCCCTTCCAGTGACCCCTGCCCCACCTCCAAATTCTTACACATTTGGTTTATTTTAAATCTCCCATGATTCCATAACTAGCATTCTGTGATGGCTTCACTAGCACTCCTACCCTGTCCTCACCTTCTTTCGTCTGTCCGACCTGCCGACCTACCGCTCTTCTCTTTCACACCAAGCCCAGGACCCTCCACCTGTCTGTGTGTGCCCTGTCCCAAAGCAGGATTTCCCAACAGAGCCTCATGGCATTTCCTGTCAGAAGAGACTCAAATGGCTACCAAACGCTTGAAAAGGTGCTCAACACCCTTATGCTCAGAAATGCAAATCAGAACAAGACCATTCTTTCTGACTAAGATTTTGAAAGAATAATAACACCCAGTGCTAGTCAGGGTGTGAAAATGGGAATTTTTCGCTGATAGAAGTGTAAATGGGTACCACCTTTCTGGGTGGATAAATAATCAGGATTTTCATGAATTATCCTAGTTCATACTTCAGTTTCTAAGTTAAAATGCTATTTTTAATTTGTTTTGTTTTATTTTGTTTACTTAATGCTTTGCGCCTGGAGCCTTTAACTGGTTTTAACTGCCTCCCTAGGGCAAAACATAAGGCTTGGGAAATTCAAACATACTTGTGATATACAAATAGAGTTAATATTTTTTTAAGGTCACTGTCGGCCTCTAATGAAGACTGAAAGCATTGAGTAAACACAGAGACAATTTCTTTATTTGAAGTATGAAAGAGGATAGTACATGAATTTGCTAATAGTCCTTCCATTTTACAGATGGATTACCTGAATATGATGTGAGAATATGTGATTCTGGGAGGGAAGGTGTGCAGGTGGGCAGTGTCTTTATCTGAATAAGTAGTGGCTTGTAAGAGACACATCTTCTATCTCCCAGGCCTCTCCTCATTTTCTGAGTCTGTTTAAATGGAAAGAAGGCTCTTTTCTAGAAAAGTTTTCCCCCATCTTTCTCCAAGCTTTAACAGAGTTCTAGAGCTGCTATTAGCCAGAAAGTTGCTTAGCACACACTTTGGGAGAACTGCGTTGATAACCAAATCTGTATCATAGAGAGGCAATTTACCATTAGGTCTTCACGGTGTAATGCCTAATGTTTGTATTGCTCATGTGTTTAAAAGGGTTGCCACATTGTACTTTTGTACTAAATCCTAATAATTTAACTAGAACCACTGAAACAAAACAAAACATGAAAGTTCCAAGATGGTGCCAGTTTCCTCTATTCGGCTCCGTTGATGGTGCCTCAGTTCTGACCTTGAGTCCTTCCCCTCCTTTTTGAACAGCTTGTCAAAGAGAGCCTGGACATCCCATGGCTTGGAGAGGGGAAGTCCAGTTACAATTTGACATGAATTTGAAAGGGAACCCTCAAACGTCACTTGGGGCCAAAGTTCTACCGCATCCTGTAACGATAGAGATCAAAGACCAGAGCAGAGGGCTTTGTTACTTTTATTCCTCAGCTCGTTAGCTTTATTATTGCTACCTGCGCATCTGTCTTCCTTCCCACAGCTGCTTTCTAGAGTTCCAGTCGCTGAAAACAGGAGTTGCATATGTGAAGTGACTCTTCTGCTGTTTCTTTGTCTAGGTGTGGAAGACGCCTTCAGTTTCACCTCCAAAGTCATGACGGTGTCCCTGCACAAGTTCTCCCCAGGGTTTTTCCCAGGCAAGTATCTGTGCGCCCAGTGTTACACCCGAGGAATAAATATTACAGCTCTTCTATACATGTCTTATATCTTATATCTGGATAGTTCCATGTTATTAATACCTTGTTGGTGCCCCGCTATGCAAAATTTTAATACAGGTCATTCCAGCTGACAGTGATGAGAGGAATGTAATGCTGTGTCTTATTCCAGATGACTTTTATGGACTGTCAACAGACTGCTCACTTACACTTACTGTACTATCAGATACGCTGTGTAAGTCCCAACACCCTGATGATTGCCGTGATATATTAATTTTATGTCCATCTGAGACATATGGAAAGCAAGCAAAGTAGTTGATCACTTTTTTTTCCCCAGCAAGATGGAAGCTTCCCACTTGCTTCTAATTCTGCTTCTCAACATTGTTTACCACAGTTCACGTCTCCATATTATTTTTCTGAATTTCATTCCCTTGGAAACCATCACAGGACTGTCCTCCTAAGTGACCTTTTGGTCTTCTGAGTTCCTATCAGAGGATCCTTCAAGTTTTCTAATTCTCACATTCTTACAGCTGTTCCCGGTGCTCTTTTGCAGGAACAGGTGATGTGTCTGACGTTGGCCTAGGGAAGGGACGGTACTACAGTGTAAACGTGCCCATTCAGGACGGCATACAGGATGAGAAGTATTACCACATCTGTGAAAGGTATGGCAGTAATGCTAACAGGTGAAATACATTCCTGTAAGATGAAGGACCCCAAGCTCACAGGATTCTTGGTTTCCAGGGATAATTTTTTTTTCAGGGGAAGCCACTGTGTACCCATGTAGTTTTGTACACCATTCATTCTGCTTATTTGATCAAATTCAAAGCTTCTGGCTGCCTGCTGAGTCCCTTGTCTAGTACTTCCTTAGCTAAAACCCGCACGTGTGTGATCTCGTCAGCCTGGGGGCTCCTTTTCCGTTTTCCATTATGGAGATCTGCTTCCGTCCACTGGTGTGAATATTAGAGAGTTCTTTATTAAGAGTTCTTGAGTTTTATCCGTTGCGTTAAAATTGGAGTCAGAAATCTGTTTGGTTTCTTTTACATTATGATTATTGCATTAAATTATAGCCACTTGTAGGCAGACTGTTTGTTGCCAAGGTGTAGCCCGTTGGGTATAAAAAGCCCTGCAGAGTGGGGGAGGGGGCTGAACTCATATTCGTAGAAAAATGGGGTTGGTCAGGGATAAACTCACTGATGACGGTGGCAGGAGAGAAAGCGAGGGTGACTAGGCGTTAGCAGGCCCATCCCCCACTCGGCTCAGCTTTCTCCCAACCTCTGATGGAAACAGGGACTTCCCAAAGGAGTCCGCACTGGTCATCATCATCATTGGCAGTTGTATAAACAGAGTAGGAGTATTCAAAAATAAAAACCTGTGTGCTTCGAACGTGCCTCTTAGCTGAAGAGATTTGGCAGGCGGAGTGATCACGCAGCAGCTCCGGCCTCTTCCTGATTTTGACCGTGTCCCCTGGCTACCTCCGTATTGTCAGGCTGCAAAGGCCTCTTCTGTGGAGCCTGCCAAGGATGGTTTTAATTGCCCTGCTTTGTTCCCCTTAGGCTCTGTTCTGTCCTCCTGGAGGTGTGCAGATCAGAGCTGTTTATTAATGTTACCAACAAAGATGTCCGGAGGTTCTGTGTAAAAGGAGAATGATTTTGTTTTTTTCCTAATCCCCTTCTTGACGGTGCCCAACATTTTGTTGCCTTTTGTTCTGGTTTGGTTTTTTTCCGTAACACGAAACCAGAATGTTCTCTCCCGGTGCTCTGTGCACAGAGTTTCCTAGAGTTCTTTCCTGGGTCTTAATTGAAAGGTCAGCCCCCATCATCCTGCAAGTGTAGCTGGTAATATCTGGCCCGCCCCGAATGGATGACCTTCCATGCGCCCACATGAAAGCTCCTGACACCCTCCTATGCCCCCAAGGACAGCTACCTAATCTTCTCCAGCCACAGAAATGTCTGTGTCTCCCCTGTATTTTCTTCTTTACACTCTCCAAACCACTTCATACTATATGATAAGAAACAAATGTTTTAAATCCCTTGGTAATTCATGTTGAAAAAGTAGCCTCAGTATCAAAATTCATTAGAAGCATTTTGAAAGTGAGTTTCACACCAAGGAAAAGGTCCGGGGAAGATCTCACACGGTTCCCTTCACAGAAAGCCTGCGCCCGCCCTCCCCAGTGTACAGGAGGCCAGCATTTATTAAAGGTCCTTCCAGCTTGCCTACTAGAGTACCAGACACTCATCAGTTTATAGTTCCCAGGGCCCCTCCTGCCTGTGGAGCCACACCAGCTGTCTGGTTCCAGGTTTTCATTAGAGGTCTAATCGTTTCTCCTTTGATTTCCTTCAGAAGTCAAGTCTCGTCAGGGTGTTACATGAAGGCACCTCTGAGTCCGAGGGTGCCAGGGAGGCTCCCTGACCCAAGGTTCTCTCCCATCTGTTGGCCTAATAGTGAAGTCCTTTAACAGGAAACATACTTTTCTTCTACAATTAGCAATAGGCCTTCAAATGGAGTTTGGGCACCCTCTCCTCCTCCCCTTCACTCCGCCATATCAATGGCTTACTCGTGTAGAAAGGCCTCCAGTACATCTGCTGTCGCCTTTTCATCCGTTTGGTTCCACGAGCCTACTGGCTTTCTGGCCCACTCCTTACCTACGATAAATGATGGAACTCTTATTGCTGCTTCACTTACAGGATGCTCTGCTTTTTGTTTGAGACTCAGTTTCTAGTTTGCTCTGTTAACTGCCTCTCCCTGTGGGATTCATGAGCCCTTTTCCCTCCCTCCCTCCCTGCCTCTCTCCCTTCCTTCTTTCCTTCCTTTAAGGTTTTATTCCTCTGCTATAGCCTTTTGGACTTTGCCAGTCAGTCAGGCAGGAACTTAATGGTTTCATCTTAAAACTGAAGATATCATCTTTATTAAAAAAAATTGGCTTATGGCTCCTTTTTTAATAGACTAAGATATGGAATTTTTACATGAATGTTTTCAACACCAAAAGACCTTGGGTTCCATTTTATGTAAAAGACAATTTCACAGTCAGAGCTGCCTGGGTTATTGAGTACTAATTTAGAAGGGCAAGGGTCACTGATTCCCAAAAGCTCCCTGTAATTTCCGTGGAGCTACTAGAGTTGGGGTTACAAGTAGAACCCTGTTTTGAGTAACAGAGACATCGTTCTCAAATAAAAACTATGGCTCCAGTACACAGATAGTATATTATGCTCTTTTAGAAGTATATTATGCTCTTTTTAAAAAGATTTTTATTAAAAATATAGCTGACATACAATATTAGATTAGTTTCAGGAGTACACCATAGTTATTTCACATTTGTATACCTGAAGAAGTGGTCACCATGATAAGCCCAGCCACCATCAGACACCGTACCACACTATCACAGTATTATCGACTCTATTCCCCATGCTGTACGTTACATCCCTATGACATGTGTTTTATACCTGGAAGTTTGGGCCTCTTATTCCCCTTTCTTTCCCCCCCTTCTTAATTTTTCAATTGCAGTCAACATTCAGATATTATTTTATATTAATTTTAGGTGTACAGCATAGTGGTTAGACATTTATATAATTGAAGAAGTGATCCCCTGACTAGTCTAGTACCCACTTGGCACTATACATAGTTACTACCATATCATTGACTATATTCCCTGTGGGGGTTGGGGGCAAGATGAGAAAGGGGAAGGGATTAGAAAGTACAAATTGGTAGTTACACAATAGTCACGGGGATGTAAAGTACAGCATATTATAGTCTTGATTTACATGGAGGCCCACCCCCCACCTCAGCCATGAGCACATATACACACAAAGTTGATGGGAGAGGAAGGCTGTTTTGTGTCATCTGAAAGAGGAAGTACCACCCTGCCTATGTATTAATGTGTTTGTTCTCTAATTGTATTTCAATGCAGTGTGTGATAGCGTTGATCGTGTTTAAGCTATTACCTAAAATGCTGTGTTGATGACTTTAAGAGTGTTTATAATAAAGGACTGTGGGAGAGAAGGACAGTAACAAGCACATCGTTGCTTTTGGTTCCAGAGAGGTTTTGATAAACGTCACTCTGAAACACCCAATCTTGTCAGATGACCCAGCTCCTCGCCCTACTGTGAACTGTGATGATATATGCTTAGTTTGAAGAAGAAACTCAGAGTTGTGCTTAAACTTTAGTTTTTATCCTACCTACCTATCATTGTACAGCCCCTAGAGCCAGAAAGCAATTGTTCGCTAAATGTCCAATCATTAGTGTATATCTCATAGGAATGCTGTATGTGTATGGGTTCCAAATTTACTGAAGTGGACAGTTCAGCATTTTGAAAAAAAATCTCACATTTTATTAAGAATATTCAACTCTTCAACTTTGTAAGATAATTAAGTACAGGCACTGCATAAATATTTCACCAAAAGGCAAACACATTGTTAAACAGACTTCCGAGTGAATAGAACTTATGAAAGGCTCTATTAAACAGGACTTCTCATTCAATAGCCGTCTTTATATCCACATATGCAAAACTTTGCTAGTAAGCGCTATCAACCCGACCGAAGGAATAATCTGATTCTAGTGAACTAGGGTTCATAGTGGCAGTTATTAAAGCAAGAATCTACCTGGATTTGCTCTTTGGCCTGTTTACCTTGAGTTATATTCTATAACTTAACATTAAAATGAAAAGAAACCTTTTTCCCCATCAAAGACCACTGACTTGAAGAAAAATTCAGAGATCCCAGAAGTTTAAAAAAAAAAAAAGCAAAATATTTTCGCCTTCTTTATGAGAGAAATATTATACTTCTCTATTTTAAATAACTTTTATAGCTCTTCAACTGCTTTTTTCAAACACTTATTCTACTGTGCATGGACTAACCAGAATAGCCTATCCAGAAAGAACTTGTTCTCTAGGAAACAGCAAGCTCATTAAAGGAAAAGCTCATTTAAGCCGAAGTTTTGATTCCCGTGGGGAATTCCTGTGTGCATCTGTACTGAGCTCCACTGCCAGCCAACGAGGAAAGGGAAAAAAACATATCGCCGATACTTCATATACGTATAGAAGTTGTCCAAAACAATGTATACATACGTTAAGAAAGGAAAACTGTATTAAAATTGTAATACTCAATATATACCAATATATACCGATAACAAAAGATGAATACAAGTCACGTTTCACTTCTGCAATGACAAGAGGTGCTCAAAGTGGTTCCCATCAGCGTCCAGACACTTCTGATTACAGCAAACTACTGCTTGAGCAACGCTGAACAAAGTGTCCACTTGTATACATTTTTTTGACACCCTCGGTACATATGCACAGTTCTGTAGTATATGTTTATCATGTGAGAAATTTCCTTAGACCCTGACATGGCCTCTGAAAGACAAGTCAGTGCTGTTTTAAGCACAGGATCCATTCCTGTGGGTCTGGGCCCAAGATTCACCTCTATGAAGGCACTCTCACCTCCCTACAAAAGAGTTGAGCACCTCAAGTCACCTTATAGAATTTTTAAAGCATTAATTATTAATAACAAGAATAAAGGGGGGGGGTACCATGCGACAACCTAGGGGATTTGTGTATGAGTGTCTAAGTATAATGACACTATTTTATTCATTCATTTGGCAAGTGTTTCTTGTCTGCTTTATGCCAGCACTGTACCTAGGCACTGGTGGTGGTAAACAAGACGATGGCCC